TGTATTCGGGAGAGGGAGAGAGACTGAGAGAGAGAACCCAGCTCGCGCCTGGGTTCGTTGCCAACCCAGTCTCGCGAGCTAGGTTCATGGATTAAGATATCAGCGGTGAACAATAAGGCGTCGTTATTAAACATATAACCTAATTTGGAATCCAAAACAGAAGAGGAAGGGGTGAAATCGCACCAGCCATGGGATTTCTTTTTAGTGGAAAACCGGTGCTAGGAATCCCAATGAATGGACTTGGAATCGTCGGCGAGGTTAACGATGGCCAAACAGTAGCTCGCAAAACAGTCCCATTTGGACGAAGAAGTGCCACGAGGGTCCATGGTTATATATGGAATTGGAGTCTCACAAGCTGGGTTCATCCTGGGTTCGCGAAGAAGATGAGGATAGAAATGGGAAATGAAAAGATAAAAGGGAAACAATGATTTTTTTTAAAATTATTTTAAGACCTATTGATTACATGAAAAAAAAATCTGATTGCCAACTCATCAATTTTGCCATGTGTAATCTTATGTCACCATTAAAAAGAAAAAAAAAAAAGACATTTAACAGATAATTGTGTCATGTTGTCACTTAACTGGCAGAAAGATTAAAAAGGGATCGGATTTCAAACAGTAAAGATAAAAAAAGAGATTTTTTGGGTATAAGGACTAAAAAGGAGCTTTTTCCTATAGTAGAGGTTAAAAAAAAAGATATTTAACCTAAATAATACTAAAAATGCAAAAACTCCAATAAACTTAACCAAACAAGCCCCTAGTTTGATGCTCAGCGCTGGTGCTAGAACTCATCTTCTCTGGATGTTCTCCGTGATTTCTGGGTCTAAAATGTTCCCAAGATACCGGTCATCAAACTTATTAACTTAATGAAAATAATTATAATATCTTTTGATTTGATACCTTTTTAAATATTTATGTATTTTAATTATTAAAATATAATATAAATATAATCAATTTAATTAATTCTTGTAATTACATATATATGATTTTATTTTTAAATTTTTTATCCTTAATTTTTTAATAAATATATATGTTATAGAATATAATAAATCGGAAAATATGCTAATCAACATTCTAAGTTAATTTTATAAGTAGATATTTTTTTTCCATTTTTGTGAAAGAAATGTTTAACTCAAAGGAGGTTACCAGTTCAAGTCCTAACAAAAGAATCATTGTACTTAAACAAGAGAAGAGACAACTGAGAGTTTAGACAAAATAAGTATGCAGTCAAAGAATATCCAGTTTCCCAATGGATGGCCAAACCCGTGACAACTGCAAGTGTAGATAAGTATGGTTGGGTTACATGGGTATGCAATATTCACCCAAAAAAAAAAAAATTGTCTTTTGTTACGCTTACGCACTATGTTACCATAATTAATGCCGAAAACGAACGTTGCAATTGAGGGTAGTTTTTTAGTTATTGTGACTGTTGTGACCATAATTTCTTCCGTATTTTAGAAATTTTTTTATGGTGGTGTTTGTCAGTCGACTGTTCAAAAAATTTAAGAAAAAACCTTTAAAATTATATTGTTCTATTAAAGCATCATGAGAAAAAATCAAAATAAATTTATTCATGATTTAAAAATGGTTTATCTAGTTTTTTTAATAAGTTTATTGAAATAATATAATTTTAAAATCTTTTTTCTCTTAATTTTTTAAAAATTTAGTTAACAAACACTTTTTTCTTAATATATATTATCAACATGAACTAATTAAAATAGATACAAAAATGTCATTTTTTATTAAAAAATAATTAATATATACTTAGTTCAATATTTTTTTAATATTTATCTCTGTTTAATTATTAAAAAATAATATAAGTCTTATTACTTTAATCAATTTTTATATTATATATATAATTATATTTTTAAATCTGTTTTTATATATTTAATTTTAAGTAAAAATAATAATTTTTTAATAAATATTTTATATTATATATTAAATCAGAGTGTATATCATTCATCTTATTATTAGTTATATATTTCAGCCCTAACGCCAACGATATTAATGCAATCTCAGTTTACTTAGAAACGACACCTCGCCAACACGCTATAAAGAAAGTGGCAATCGCGCAACTTGCAAAGCGAAGGACGCACACTACGTGCTGAGTTTGATATATACACAGGGTCATCCCTTCTCTCTCCTCTCACTTTGTTAAAATAGTAGTATTTTGTTAAGGGCGGGCAAATAGTGTAATAGTTGTGTTTATTTTATAATTAATTTTATAATTTACAGTTATTTTTTTGGTTAAATATTTTATTATAATATTTAAAAATATTAATTTATAAATTAATTTTAATATATTAAATAATAAATATTAATTATTTTTAACA